CAGTTAGTTAGCCACACAAGTAACTATCAAATGCATTCAATTCACATCAAGAACCATTAGTTGAATATCATGGTTACACCTCCAAGGAGGATTGGTTATCATTTTGTATATATTTTTTTCTGAAACATTTTTATACTATTATTCATACCTGTCAAAAAATTGGAAATATCGCATTTTTTATTTCATTAAGTGAATGAAAACTGTGAAAGTAAGAGTGCCCCTTTACCACAGAAAATCTAAGTTTTGTGTGTTCATATGCAGGCTTGCATTTCAGTGAGCCCTGCACATGAGCTGGATTTACTTTGTTATTTTGATCATGACTATCATTTGTCCAGGGTACTCTTGCCTTGAATAATTTCCCATTTATAAGTATTCCCTATTGATTATATTCTTGAATAATGGAATTATATGAAGAAAGCTTTATATAACCATAATTGCATTTCTATAATTCATTTGTAGGGTATAAAATCATAGAAGATTTTTCTTGTTACTGTATGCTGTATCATTTTCTCATAAAGCTTTGTGTTGACAGTTATCAAATGCAAGATTACTAAATGAAAAAGTCTACGAACAGTGGCTTCATGCAGATCTAACAGAACTTGGAACATGCTGTTTGCCGTTTGACTTATCACAGAAAAGGACTGCATCCCTCTCAGGGTACTTCACTTTACAGGTAAGGAATTGCTCAATAAAGTACTGCAACATTTAAGTTTCTTCCTGTTGCAAATTAGATTTATGATGTGGTTTTATTTCAGTTTTGTATTGGATCTGAGCTAATTCGTTTCTTCATGTTATGTGATTTCTAGATTAGAGAAAAGAAAATAATAGCTGAAGCAATTTTTTTTTAGAGATGCTTTAAGAAATCTTTTTGAAATAACCATTTTCCATATAAACAGGTAAATAGTGTACGAGATGTGGGGCAGCCAGCCTATGCTCAGTTGCAGAAAGTCCGTCGAGCTGATAATGAAAATGCGAGAGTCAGTGCAGAGCAGTCACATCAGGTGAGGGATGGAACTTTAACCTTTATTTACTGATAATATCTCTTGCATACTCCCCTTTTCGTTCTCACTGTCCATTATGTTGTAAAACAATCTCTCTCTCTCTCTCTATGTATGTATAATATATATTATATATATATACATATCTCTGTACACACACACACACACACACACACACACACACACACACACACACACACACACACACACACACACACACACACACACACACACACACACACACACGTGTACGTGTCCGTGTCCGTGTCCGTGTCCGTGTCCGTGTCCATGTATCTCTTCACTGACTGACAACCTGGAGTCTTGAACTCTATTACCAAGGTATGTAAAGCTCTCTGTTACTTCAGTGTCCTTATTGCATACCAAGCAAACAGGTTTTTCCAAGCAGACCATAATATCCTGGGGTAGTACTCATGAAAGGTCTTAGATTCCAACATTTGTCTTTGACAAAAAAAAAAAATAAAAGATAAAGTTTTGATATTTTGATAAGGTATTGCAAATATGTAAATAAATCTTGCTTTTTATTCATAATGGTAATATTAGGCATTAAGTCTTTCTAAATGTGATTCCTACACTTATTGTCATTGCATCACTTGTAAAAGCAGGTGCCGCTATTTGTATATTTTTAATAAAATACAGCAATAGAAATGGAGGAAACGGCTCAATTAATGTTTGTTGATTTGTCAAAGTAGGCCTCAAAGCTTTTCTTATTATTTGCAATGCAGAATAATTTTTAACAGAGGAAAATTTGCTTAAGAAGAAATTAAAGACATATCTTACATGTTACGACAAAATTAAAGACAGTCCTTGTGTATGTGGATAGAAAATATCCGCAAAAAAAGAAAAGAATAGAAAAAAAGGACTAACTTAATGTTTGACAATAAATTAAAAAGATCTTCTAGGAATTTTCAATCATAATGCAGAATTATCTTCTAAATTGTGTAAAATTGCATTGTAGTTTTAAAAATAGTCCTTATGTAGTCGTAGATAAGTTTACCGAGTCAAAGACATATGAAGGTAATCACACATCAGTAAGGACAAATACTCTTTGGAGGCCCATTCTGATTTATTGTCACCCATTAATTGATCCATTTCCTTCATATTTACAGCAATTTTCTATTCAAAAATACGAATGGTGCCATGCGCCTTCACAGCTGATGCAATGACAACAAACCTATGATTGACCTAATTTTAGTTGATCTTGTAAATACTATTGTCATCATAGAAGTAAGCTTTATTGCAGTATGTAGGTTAACATATTACTGCAATCAATTATCTTCACTGAGTATGTAACAATGTAAATGTATATGTGGCAATGGACAAATTTTGAAGTCTAAGACCTTTCATCAAAACTGCCCCTGGATGTTGGTTTTGGTCCAGGAGACCTCTAGACCCAGGAGCTTTGCTTCATTGCTAAATGCATATGGAGCCACCACTAGAGTTCCCAGAGACTCCAGAGAATAGCAACATCGTCAGCAAAGTCAGTATTAGTAACCTTGATATTGCCTAGAGTTGTTCCACAATGACTTTGGACAGTAGCTCTTCCCAGTATCTAGTTCATTCAATTGTTGAAAAGTATTGGTGCAAGAACACAGGTTTGCCTCACTCCTGAATTAATAGGGAAGAAGCCTGACAAGCTTCCACCACACTTTACAGCACTTCAATACCTATATATATTAATTCTATAATCCTTGTTGGGATTTCTCTAGTCTCAGGATCTCCCAGATTGATTCATGATGCACCGTATCAAACACCTTCTTGAGGTCAATGTAAACAGCAAGCAACCCATGCCTGAACTCACAACAGCACTCTACAGTAACTTGAAGCATCAGGATATGGTCTATTGTAGACTTCCCAGGAGTGAATCCAGATTGCTCCTGCCTCTGGTGCCTCTGCAAGCCTCTGATACATATCAGAAGGATGTGAGCAAGAACCTCACCAGGTATACTGAGCAGTGTAATGTCTTGGTCATTGCTGCAGTCCCATAGATCACCTTTCCCCGTTCAGGGAGGGATGACTGGACCCCTCAACAGGCTAGGGGGAATGGTACCAGTCTGGCAAATGGCAGCCATTACAGTATGCAAAACCCTGGCCATAGGTTCACCACTGGGATGCTGCAGATATCCACTGCATCAGTTTGAAGATTACCCCTAACTTGAGTTAGGGAATGTGGATCTAAACTCATGAGTGGGAATCTTGACATGACCTGCATCCAATTTAACTGTTGGTGTTGGTATAAATTCTCAAAATATTAAACCCAATGCCCCCACACTCTGGCCACTTACTGAGTGGGCTACAGTCGCCTGTGAGGAGGGTTGGAGTTCAGTTTTCTCTGGACTTGTTAGGGCATTTACTAAGAAATGGCCTTTGACCTCCTCTGCAAAATTCCCATGAACTGTTCCTTGTCCCTTCTCATGAGTGACCGAGTCCTGCACACCAGGGAACAATGTGTGTATCAGTAGCTTCCTATATGTCTTGCGAGATGAAGTTCTATCTTGCTCTTGGGTGTTCGCCAGTCGATTCTTGAGCTGTGTCAAGTGTTACACATTTGAAAGTGTCCCACAGCAGTACAAGGTTCGTCAGGTCTCTGAGTGTTGCGAAACTACCAGAGATAACTCAGCAAACCCCTGTGCATACTCCCCCTTCTTCAACCTCCACATAAAACACCCTAAGGTGATCATTGGACCAACAGGGAGTTTTGAAGTGGCCTCAGAGAGTATCCACAACTAATCAGTACAACAGAACTCAGCACACAGATATGCCCCACAGTTCTGGAAGATCCTCCAATAAGTGCTAACAAGGATGAGTTCAATCTTCTTAGCCACATTGCTGTACCATGTCCAATGATGCAGGTCAGAATGCTGGTACAAGGAAGCAGAAGTCCTTAATTTCTAGGGCCTTGCAAAGTCCCAGAAAAGGAGGCTATTCTTGCTGTCAGATATCGCACAAAAGTCACCCAGATCATTGCAAACATTTGAGGACAGCTGTCTGTTACAGTGTGAGTTTGGTGTAAAACATCTCTTTTTGCATCAAGTTTACAAAACATCAATAGGAGCATACACAGCAATAAGAAACATGAAGCCAAATGCAAGCTTCAGTCTCAATACCATTATACACTCATCGACCAGAGGGCTGAAGTCTGCTGGAGATGGCTGTGGCTACTCCCTGAAGATGGTAACCATCACTGTGGCCTAACTAGTAGTAGGTGTAGCCACCCTCCCTGATCACACCACCATCAGGTCTTCTCACCTCTTGAGAGAACAGCCACCTTAACTCTCAGCCACTTCAGTTCCCTTGACAGAAGTGGCAACTGCTCATCCTGTCGCAAAGAGTGGACGTTCCAAGCCATCAGTCTGATGGCCCACTTAAGGTTTAGCCTTAAGCAGTCACTCTGGGTGGACACCAACTCTGCCACCCCCACAGACATTGCTCATATAGAGAGGGCTGGCTGGTCCATTCCCCCTAATCCACCTGCCCCTCAAGCCTCACACCAGGTTGGCAATCACTGGGATGCATATGGGACCAGTAACCCCAGTTCCCAGATTAAGTCCCAGTAGTCACCAAACCAGTGGGACCCACAGCCTGCCTTACTTGCTGGCTATTATTTTTCATTGCCAGTTCTCTTGGGGGCTTGGGGGGTCAGACTGGCAATGCCCAACTCCCCACAGCCACCCATCAACCCCAGGGGGCAAGGTAGGACTTATTATGAAGTGAGATGGGCCATGACTCTGTATCTTTAGGACCTCCTGCTCCAAGAGCCTTCACTATTCAGCCTAGAACCACAAAGTACCTAGTTTCCATGGGTGGCCCCAAGGAGGCACTGCAGAAGTCTTGATGATAGAGAAGCTATGAGCTGGCAGGGGAGACTTACACACAGCTGCTTCCTTTTCTTACCAAACTAGCTAGTGTGGCAGCTGTAAGTGAGAATGCATGCAAACCCCTTAACATTATCTAGGCTACCACACTGCTTCACATCACCCCCCCCCCCACACACACACACACACACATATACACACACACTTACATATATACATATAGATATACATACCTACAAGTGTATATGCACACACAGACATACAGATATACATACACAAACATACATCATGCATTCATCTATGTGTGCGTGTGTGTATGTTTTGTAAACTGATGTATCTCTCCATCTACATTTATTTTATTTTTCTTTATATAAGGAATTTTTACAATGAAGATGAATTCATTTCTCCCATTGCCTCATATCTTGTGTTAATTCCTCCATCAATCTAACCTCCCTCATATCTCTCTCTTTCTTGTCCTTTCATATTTTGGTTTCTCAACTCCCTCCATGACCATTCTAGTTCCAGTATTCTTCATGATTATTGTTTCTCGTCCACTTAATCTTTGTTTGATTTTTCCTCAAACTGTGAAATATGTTTTTGCTTTCACTTCTTTTTAATATTTTTAGAAATTTATTTTCTTATAATTGTTATTATTTATTGTTTTGTTTCTTTGTTTGTTTCCAACTTGTCTTACTTAGTATTAATACTACATGAATGATACAATTTTCAAAATGTTAGAATTCAAATAAAATGCACCCCTGCTTCAGCCTGCATGGGAACCGAAGCCATCGAGAATGCTCATGATGCAGTTGACAGATGGCACGAGTGTTGTACAGGGGATGGAGTACCGAGTGATTCCAGCACTGAACCATAACCTGAAGCCTGGTACAAAGGCAAGTCAGATAGTTGGGATTTTAAATTTTGTTCAATATATTATTGAATACAACATGGAATATATGCTTATCATTTTCTCTAAATCAAATTTTTCCTCTCATTCTTTCATGGGTAAAAGAGTTCATTCCACTTGAATACTATATTATTATATGTGTACTGTCACAGCATTATTAGGCAAACTGTATTTGCAGATTCTCATTTCGGGAAACATTACCTCAAGGCACGGGGTACTACTTCTAACCCGTGAGAATGTGACTGTGTTAGGTGGAGAGGTAGAGTCCCTACTCGTAACAAATGCTCTGGAAAATGTTCTTGCTCGAAAGCTGTAAGTTCTGTGGATATTTTATATTTGAAGATTATTATTATTATCTCTTTTTTCATATGATTATATACTACAGTTGCAACTTGAAACTGCTGTGTTGTATATGTTAGAATAACTGGTGTAAATATTGGAAGTTTTTATGACTTTAGAATACAGAATTCATTGTATTTTGGAAGAATCTTAGTATCTTAATGTTAGTAGTATCAGTAAATATTCATGCAACTTTCCCAATGTAGTGGTATGGAAGAGACACAACAGCCACAACAGTTTGAGGATATAGCTCCCACACAAGTTCCTCCAAGCCAAGCCTCTCAGTACTATCCATCACAGTTAAATCCTACAGTAAACCGGTCCCAAAACAACAGGGTTGGAGGACTTCAAACTGTGGCAGCCAACAGGTCACAGGTGAGGTACTTCATATGTTTGTCTGTTTGTCTCTGTGTGTGGTTTTGTGTGCTTGTGTATGTGTATACATAAATGCTCATTTCTGTTCTTCATGATTTGCTTTTTATTCTTCCTTTTTGCCCCTTTTACTCAAACTAAATTTAGATTTATGTGAAAGGATTAAATTTTGAATGATTGAAAAATACATTTTCAAATCTTATTGCCAAATTATCAGTGCTTAAATATGATAACTGAATTGATATTTACAGAATAATGTTACATCTGTACCAGCGAATGACTTAGATGACCTGGGTGATGATGATTTTCTTGATGCTGAGTTTGAGGCAGCCCTAAGTCAGATAGAGAGCCAGGCATCATCTTTAGGTAGTCAGAATGGACATACGAGGACTAACGGTAATAATCAAAGAGATGTTGGGCATAACAGAAACAGTGCTAATGCAAGAACAGCAAATGGCCAGGCTGGAAATAGAAACTCAGGTGTTGATGAAGACTTTGAGATGGACGTTGATGATTCTTTCTTCAATGATGATTTTGATGAAGAGGTGGTCCTGGCATCTGGAAGACAGGCACAGCAGCAGTCTACAGCTAAAGCATCCTCTAGTGGGTCTTCTCAGCAAAGAAACTCATTTCAGTCAGCTTCTTCAAACCCTTTTACTGGCACATCATCCAAAAGCTCTAGTTCACAAGTAAGACCAAGTTTAAGTCAGGCTTCAAGAGCAAAAATCACCAAACCTCCAGCAAAACAATCGAGCCTCAAGAACTTTCTTACTAGACCTGAAGAATCAGAAAAGGTTACCGGGAGATCTAACTCACCAACTGTGTACACTATAGATGATGACGATTTTATGGATGATATTTCCCTAGATGATGATTCCATGAGCTCCTCTCTATCCAAAACTTCTGCAAATCAGTCTTCAGCATTAAAATTCAAAAATGCTGCATCAGGCAAGATTAAAGAATTCAAAACCCCAGGAGCTCCAGTTAGCAAAAAGCAAGAACACAGAAGTGTAGCTGACACTGTTAAACAAGAGCCACCTTTCAGCTACCTGTGTTTCTTGCCAGAAAGTCCTGCAGTGACAAAGGTTTGTGAAACTTATAAAGTGTTTGCAGGAATCTAAGACTTAGATATATATTTTACACTGTAATTTGTACCAATCCATGCCTAGGTTTTCATATTTTTAGTTATGTGATTGGTATGCATTGTCCCATGGGTAGATGCATAAAAATTAACAAAGGAGGGCAATAAACACTTCATACAGAAAGACACCATGATTAGTTAGATCTCAAACTTATCCTTTTCATTAGACTGATACCAGCATCAATTGTTACTTTTATTATCCTCAAAAAGTATGCAGCAAGTGAGGGTATTGTATCCTGCCTGTGAACATCACATTTACACACATGCCATACCCAGTGGCATTGAGTTAACAGCCTGTTCTCCTTCCTCAGATGCATAAATATCCTCAATTTGATCTAATCCCCCTTTATCCTTAACCTGTCCCCTTCTATCAGTCCCACCAAGGAGTCAATTACTAGGCCTATCTGACCTTAACTATTTACCCCATTCCTTTTATTTTTTTTAGGAAAAGGTTATAGAATTTCTTTAATGAAGCAGTAATGGAATTTTACATGGTATTTCAGGAAATTATTGTAAAGGGTTTCATCATGACCTTGACTTCTCGTCTGGAGCAAGTGGAAGGCAAGTGGAAACTGACAGTCATCATCAACGACGGAACAGCTTCATGTGAAGTGGATATTGAGGACCAGGTCAGTATTGAAAGAAATTATTTAATTTATGCTTTATAATTGATGCACTTTGCTTTGTATATTTTATATCATGCTCTCTGATAACAATAATTATTTTTGTAGGATGATTATTATTACTCTGATATAATTATTGATATTATTTTTTATTGAAATTATAATCATGAACATTCCCATCCTTATTTCTAGCATTATTGCTACTGCTGTTATTATAATTGTTGATATTGAAGTTGTTATTGTATTATTATTATTATCATTATAAATATTATTATTATTATAAGTAGTACCCGTGTAAATTCCAAGGAATAAAAAATGTTATGTATTACTTCTCACCACCTCCTTCTACCTCTCACCTCCTTTCAGCCTTTCCCTTTCCCACTCTGCCACCCTCTCTCATTCCCAGATTTTCCTTGATTTCATTTCTTCCCTTCCACCTTAAACCCTATACCTGCCTCCTCCCACTTCCCTCCTCTTCCTCCGTGAACTCCCCCACCTCCTTCGCTTCCTCTCCCTCTTCGCTTACTTCCTCTCCCCCTTTTCTTACTCCCTCTCCCCCTTCTCTTGCTTCCCTGTCCTGCTTTCCTCTCTCAGCCTGTTCTCCTTTCTCCCTCACTCTCCTCTCTCAGTCCCCTCCCCCTCCCTTTCTTCTTTAAATCCCCTTTCTTCTCCCTCTTCCTTTCTTCTTTAAATCCTCTTTCTTCTCCCTCTTCTTTTCCCCCTTCCCCTTCTGCCTTCCTTCTTAACCTTAATGATCATAACAATAACAATAATGATGATAATAGAATTGTTTAATTGTTCTTACACATAGATGGCTACACTTGTAATAAGTCACCAATGAGCCAATTACAAGTACTGCCTGTCTCACCTGTTTACCCTTTTCCTTGATTTACAAAAATATTTTACGTTATCTTATTGTGATGTTACTAATGTTTGTAACATTATAGTAATTATAATTTCTATGATAAAAATAACACCATCGATATTCATAGCATTAGTAAAAAATGCGTTTTTCCGGCCAATTCAAGGAAATTTGGTGAAATTAGGTAAGGTTACAAGGTCTACTAATTGACTCCTTTGTGGCTAAGGACTAGCAGAGCCATCTATGTGCAGACATTTCACAAAAATATAAAAAGTGAACGCAGCATTTTCCTCATTTTTCATTCATTTTCCCCGGCGGTCTGTGGTTAATATTAGTAGTAGTATTGTTTTTTTTTTGTTTTTTTTTATTATTGTTGTTAATGTGATGGATGATGTTGTTATTAGCATTGTTATTATTATTATTTCTTTATTGTAATTATTGTTATTGGTATTATTATTATTATTATTATTATTATTATTATTATTATTATTGCCATTTTTACCACTGCTATTGGTACCATTCCAGTATTGTTATCATTACTATTCTTATAACTATTATCATCACCATGGCATAATATCATGTTTGGCTATTTCATTGATATTTTTAAATATTGCGAAAGAATAAGTTACCGGGAGATATGTACTGTCTGGAATCCCTTACCTCTCATCAAGTAATCTCACCTGTTGCCTGTGGACTATGTTAGATATACCATTTGAGGAATATATGCCACAGATCCAGAGAGTTATGATTACTGATGGCTTAGAAGGAATGCAACATCTGTTCTCCCTGGAAATGGAATAACTCCCAATTTTTCCCCATCTCCCTTAATCCTTTCTTTTTTTCCATATTATGAAAGATAGTTTCTACTTATGTATCTATGAAGTCAGTAAATGGCATTCTTTTCTGGTTCAGTTTAGTACATTTTGTCACCCTGTGTTTTCTCTTGTTTTTCTTAAATCTGCCTAAAGCAGCTTGATCCAATTCAGCTCAAATTAATCTCACCTCAAATATGATTTTATTTTATTCATGATATCATCACAGTGTAGCCAGTGTAGCATATGTCAGATGCAATACTCAACTGTTGGTTGTATTACTAGGGTGACTTAGTGTATTTGCCAGCTACAACGAGTAAAATTGCAAAACTAAATTGAGGCCCTCGATATCCTTTGGTTGGTCATGGTCGGCTGTTGCCTGAGCCCCAATTAGTGTTTATGTTCCTTCTTTATCACTATTTTAACTATTTTATTCTAGGAAAACAAATTTTCATAAAATTTGACATGGTCAAAATATGTTTGCCTCTGAGGGTATTATTGTTTTACATTATCACTTTTATTATTGCCAGCATTATTATTTAGTTAACTATTGCTGTTCTCTTTAAGATCCTGCAAAACCTTATTGGTATGAGCACAGAGGAAATGAACGTGAAGAAAGTTGAAGCAAGAACCAACCCAGCCCTGAAAGCACAGTTGGCTAAGGTATGTGAAAATCTACCTCTCTTGTTTTGTGATGTAGAGTGATTACAAGTTGTGACAGGTGGGCGTAAATTGTTTCTCACATTTTCTGTGTCATTCGCCTTGATTCAGTCATTATCTCTGCCTTGAGCTGTCTCTGTCATTTTGCCTGTCTGTCTCAGTCATTCTTTGCGCTCTCTCTCTCTCTCTCTCTCTTTCTCGCTTACTTTCTCTTTCTGCATCCATTCCTCCTGACCTCCTCCCTCCCAATTTCACTCTCTCTCTTTCTCACTCCCTCCCTTCATTCCACTCCCTCTCTTTCTGCAGCTCTGTCTGTTTGTCACTGTCTATTTGTCACTTTGTGTGTGTGTGTGTCTGTCTGTCTGTTTCTGTTTCTGTTTCTTTTTTGTGACAGTATCTCTCTTTGTACAGTATGGTGTGTAGCTAGCATCTGAGGCAAACTCATAAGTTGATGGTAATCAAGTATATTTTTCCTTGCAGGCAGTCAGTGGTTGTCAGCGTCAGCTGATCTCACTCTGTAGTCTTCTTCACATTAGAGTGTCCCCAGGTTCATCAAGGCCCAAGTTAACGGCCATCAATCCTGTTGAAAATGCAATGGTACAGCAATTAACACAGAGGATATATATGTTTTCTCAGAAATAAGGGTGTACATCTTTATTATAAATTCAAATATTTCCTAGACCCCAAGTTATATGAAGAATTAAAAATATTAGAATGTATATGTATAGTTATTTGATATACTTCAGAGTAGAATATATTGTACACTGTGCATGTGCATATAGTTTTCCTTGTTAATTTCTTTTCCAATCAACTTTCTGAAGATCAGTGTCCATATTTGTATTTCCAAGTAAATACACTGTAAGAATGATTATTTGCCCTTCCTTTTTACACCCATTATTATGTACTTATAGTAACTTATCTTTATTTTAGTGACTTCAGATATCCAAATATCTGACTGGAGTAAATTTAATAGGAATATAAAATATAAAGGCAAATTTATTTTTTAATGAAAAGAAGTTTTGTATTATATATAAAACTATACATACATACATACACCTTAGAATAGTTCCATCAGATAATCAGCATAAAGTATACACATCAGTATGATTACAGATTACAGCACCATAAAACAAACATTTGTTCTTATTGCAACATTATAATGCTTTGCAATTATGTGTTTTCCATACAGTTTAGATTTTAGTAATCAAAATAGAAAGTTTGGATACATTCCATATGATTTATTGTCTGTATAAGAAAATTTTGAATAAGTATATACAAAAAGTTTAGATAAATATATATGATAACGGTGGTGATAAAAGTGTTATGACAAAGGAGATAAACAAGAATGGATGAAATAATACCATTTTCACAGTTAGAGTAACTAGAATGTATGGATGATGATATAATAAAATAATGATGAAAATAAGAATGATAAGGCTACTAGTATGTTATATTTATCACAAATTCAACATGACACAAAAATGACACAAAAATAAAGTGGTCTTAAAAATCGCCCAGGTACATATACAGTAGTTTTGTGAAGGATGAAATAAATGCTAATAATTGTATAATACAGAAAAATATGATATAAGTTGGTCTCTTTTTTTTTTCTTTTTTTTTTCGTTAAATGTCTGCACATAGATGGCTCTGCAAGTGCTTAGCCACAAAGGAGCCAATGAGTAGAAATCAGGTGTGACCTTACCTGATTTCACCTTTCCTTGAATTGGTGGGAAAATTTTTTTTTTTTTTTTTACTAATGCTATGAATATTGATGGTATTATTAATATTATAGACCTTATAATTACTATAATGTTACAAACATTAGTAACAACAAAATAAGATAGCGTATATATTTTCATAAATCAAGGAAAAGGGTAAACAGGCGAGACAAGCAGGACTTATAATTGGCTCATTGGTGACTTAGTACAAGTGTCGCCATCTCTGTGTAAAAACAATTAATAAAGTAAACTCACAGTGGGCATGGCATGTGCATACATGCCTCCCCCAGTGGCATTGGGTTGATATACACTCACATAAAAACAACCTGAAACAAATCTTTTGATTGTAGACAGTTCATAACATCTAGCATTAACAAAAGGAAGCAAAGTTTCTCATAGGGTTTCGGAAGCACTAAAAATTTAAGTTTAGACTTTACAAGTTACAGAGACTTGTAAGCATTATCCAGCTTGCATTAACTTTTTTGTACTTTGTTAACACAGCGCTACAATTCTATGTTGAAGTTGATGTTTTTACTTCTATTTAACTAATTTTATATGTATAAATATCATAAACTTTAAAGTAACATTTTAGTTACTGTATGTATTGCAAGTAATGACACAGCATACTCAGAAAATATAAAGTATTACTTTCTAAAATGCAAGCATTAACCTGACCTATGACAAAATCCTCCAAAATTAATAAGTACCTTTATTGCATTTTAACATTTGCTTTCATTATATCTGAAAATCACAGGTAAGTACAACCAGCCATACATACTATATCTGTATGACAAGTTAAATATAAAAGCCTAGTGACTATTTATATACACAAATGCTTAAGGTACTCACTGGCCTCTTTATATATACAAAACCAATCTTACAGCATTGTGGCTTAAATATACTTGATATATACATACAGAGATATATTACACACCTTCATATACTCAATGGAGTTTACATGAATATCCGGTACACTGTAATATACAGATACCCTGTTCTAAAAGAGACAGGAAAACCAAGGCCAAAGTGCCACTTGACAATGATTTGCAAGAAGCAAATTACTCAGTATTATATTGATATATTCATGAAGCTATGCAGATATTAGATTTACATTTAGTTGTTGATTTGAGTTTCCTCATTTCAACTATATATAGTAATAACAGTATAATATCTGAAGTACAGCAATGAAGCACTGGATTTTGTTTTCTTTAGAAATAACTGTACATTTATATTAAACTGCTTTAAAACTAAGAAACAAAATATTCATGTATAAATATGTGCATGTACATACATGCTTTGATTTATACGAAATTGTCATTCACAAGTAAAATATTTGCCAAATGCCATATGACATTCAATAAATAAACTTTGCAATTTAAAAGCAAACTTGTAAAATGTTAGTATGCTAGGTAATGGATATATAGTAACAGCATGATTTATACTGTAACATCATTGAGAGAATGTGCTCCATGGACAGTTCTGAATGTACTTTGGTTTTGTTGCACCGTTGTGGACAGTGTCTCAACTGCTGCCTGAAGGTTAATAACTAGTTTCCTTAGTTCTTCAAGACGAGCATGTGAGTCAGGCAAAACATTCCGCTGGGCTCCTGAATTGGAAGGATGCCGTGAGTTCCATGATGATGGCTGTTGCTGCAAAGAGGGGTGGAAGAGGTCTCCATCTTCTTCTACATCAGTGTCACTTGCCAGAGTCCATCTCCAGGATGCTCTCTCTACACAAGAAGGCCTAATGATTGATGACCTCAGGGTTACTGGTACTTGGGAGTTAGATTGCTGGGAAGACCCTGCCTGTTTGTTTTGTCCTGTTTGCAATGCTCGGAGGTGAAGTCTCTCTTCTCGCTTGTCCAGTTCATGTTCTCTAAGTGCCATGTTAACAGCTTCGCCCATGAGCTGAGAGGGGAGTGAGGGCTCATACTCAGGGGCTATGAATCCTGATACAAAAATCTCAAAGATTTTGGTAAGGAGCTTCCTTGATCTGACTATTCTGATAAGCAACAGGAATATAGTATCTGCAAAGCCATGTGTTCTGTTGGGATAGACCGACACTGTGACATCTGAAGCAAGACCAGAAGTGAGGCTGATACTACTCAGTAGACATTTCTGTAGTCTGCGGGGAATTAGGCTGTTCCTGAAGAGGTTCTCAACCTGCACCATCAGTTCCACATGCCTAATGAGACGCAACACTTCTGATCTGACAAAGGAAAAGTAATAAGTTATTGTAGTGATGATTTACTTTACACGTTAGCATTCATTTTATATACATATTATACTAGATAAACATATGTGTGTATGTGTGCATGTGCGTGTTCTTGTTCGTGTTCGTGCTGTGTTCGTGTGCATCTACTTTAACTTATAGTGCCCTATATCGCAAAATCTTAAATCTTCAAAATTACCTTTGTTTAATAGCATACATGTCGCTCACAGCCAGACCCACAAGAAGGTTGGAAAGTATAATGAAGACCAGCACAATGAACACCACCAGAATGCAGATTGAGAGCACCTGCAACTCGGAGGCTATGGGAGGCTGCGGCGTGAGGAAAGTTGACTCGTAATCTAGCTCTCCGGTCATCATTACCTGTCAAGAAAAAAAAATATATATATATATATATAAATACACAGTAGCGCTGTTGATCAGGTGTTGACTACATGATGAGGTGATGACTACGGTGATTACCATGGATATTGAATAGAGCAGAGGAGTATTTTGAGATGATTATCAGGATTTCTGGGCTCTTGCAGAATGAAAAATAGCCATGCCTAAAAAAAAAAATTGTTTTGTAGAGATAACCACAGCAATGAACGGAAAGAGTTATAAAAATATAACATTATTGAGAGTTTCGAACAGAAGAATTCTTTACAGTCCAGAATAAACTGAGAACAAAGTAAAATCTGAACATTACAATTAGCACAATTTATAATGATCATTGATATGACATGAGAGAAAGCTCAAAACTTACCAGCGCAGTAACAAGGGATTTGCCTAAGTCTTGGAAGGTGGTGCTCGAGCGAAGCAGCACATGGAATCCTAAAGCAAAGGCTACAAGGACTGGCACATACATGAGTAGAAACCTGAGCACGTTCTTGGCCACAGTGGAGAACATGACGATATAGACCCCGCAACTGGGGAACTGTCCAGTAAACAGCATCAGTCGAACCCAAGCCAGGATAATGGATATAGCGCCGACACTCTGCTGCCACTCTGCCAGACAGCATTCTTTGTTTTCCAGACTACTAACCAGGATCTGCGGCACACACACAACCAGCGTGGCATCAATCACATTGCCGAGATTGCGAATGTAAATGAATGGATTTTGCAAAATCTGGACGATCTCGCGCAAATCCAATAAGGCACTAAATATGACTAGACACCACCATGTGAGTCCCACCACGTGCTCACCTGACCAACCACATCTCAATGGCCCATCTATTTTTGGGTCACTGAAAGGGAAACTGGGGGAACTTGAGTTAGACGGCACGTCGTCTAATGAAGTCACGTTTTTAGCAGTCTCCGGATCATTGGAACAGTTGTGGGAGGAAAGGAGAAAAGCACTAAGACTGAGGACAAAGAAAAAGTAGAAGTACACATTGGCCAGGAAGTATTTACGCACTTTAAACCACTTGAGGTGAAGGAAGGCATGGCAGAGTGGGTGCTTCAGAAGGCTCTTTCGCCCTGCCCACATCATGTAGTTGAGCATTGCCACTTCGGAGTCTCGAAGAAGGGGCGGCGGGAGGGGCAGTTCTGCTTGTGGGTTGTGTGGCCTCTGCCGCTGGATTTCGCACAGCTGCTGGCTATCGACCGTCAACGGGCCGAAATCGAGGTCTAGCTGAAGGAGGGGTGAATCTCGAGCGGAGGTGTTCGCTCGAAAGGATCTGTTGAGGGCAATGGGTACGAGCGACGGAAAACTCTCTACCATGCGCCACATTGCAAACCCGTCTTGAATGCAGGCTCCCTTGGCCACAAGTTGCTGCACGGCATGTAACACATAGTCTCTGGCGGTGGGTCGTCCCCACCACATGGTCCGCCGAAGGGCAAGAGAAAGCGCGTTCAGTCCTTCGCAATTCTTCGCCGCTACCGAGGCCCCGTGGGACAGGAGCTGCTCCAAACACATTCCGTCGAACTCGTCGTCCACGTGATTGTAGGGCCGCCCAGCCGTCATGTGCAAGGCTGTGTCGCCGTGTCGGTCCTGTGAGTTGATGGCCGCCCCGAAGTCCAGGAGTGAGGTCACCGCCTCCAACGAGCGCGCCCCCAGTACCGCACAGTGCAAAGGAGTTCTTCCTTCCTTGTCCTTGAAGTTGATGGTGGAGCTCCCTCGCCCGCGCACCAAGATTTTAATTAGCTTGGAGCTTCCAGCAGTCGCAGCATTGTGCAAGGCGAGGCGGCCGTCTGCATCCCGACGTCCGAGCAGCGCTCCTGCACTTATCAGCATTTCAACTACACTCACAAAGTTGCTTCCTCCTGGGCCAGGATTAGCAGCACGGGCCGCGTAATGAAGGGGTGTGCGAGCATGGTTGTCAAGTGGGTCTGGAGGGGCTCCTCGTGATATCAATATCCTAAGAGAGGATATGTGGCCTCCACCCGCGGCCATGTGTAGCGGCGTGATGCCCGCAGCGTCGGCGAGGTTCACATTCGCCCCCGCGGACACGAGCTCCAGGACGGCTTCAGTGAAGTCATGCTTTACGGCGTAGATGAGCGGCGTGCGGTTGCCTCGTGCGGGTTCCCTGTGGTTGGGGGAAAGGCCGCGCGCAAGAAGGGTCTTCACATTTGCTAAATCTCTTTTCTTCAGTGCTTCCAGCAGCGTTACGAAGCGTGAATCTGGCTGCGGGCCCCTGAGGATCGGGGTATCCTGACCAGCGTCCTCGACCGAGCTGGATCTTAAAAGCATCCTGAAGCCCGCCATGGTCCTCACTGGGTTCTTCTTATGCAATCGAGCCTCGAACAGACGGGACCATCTGCAGCAATCGCGTTAAATGCCGGTCCTAACCGCTAGTGTAAACAGGAGCGCGGACTTCCTATCACAGGAGCTTATCTTGTCCGAGATCTTTCTTCTTTACCGAGACAACATTCCGTCGTTCAGAGTATGTTTGCGGACAGCGCAAGTCTTCACGCAGTTGAGACACCAGCGGTTAGTGGCCATTAGCGCGAGTTGCGAGGTCAAGAGTATGGACACGCCCCCTTCCCCGTCACGCGGCGCTCACATGGCGGGGTTCATGACCTCTC